AGCAAGCTGAATATCTGTTTCATTTGAAGGCATTTAGAATATATTGCGTAGAGTGGTTGTGTATAGAGTTAAACCGTGTGCGCAAACTTGGTGGGGTGGCCAACTCGCTTGCCTGGCCAACTCGCTTATCCAGCACGTTATAAGAGTTGGTTTTCATGAATGAGAGACGGGGGGCTTTTGCCTTTTGCTATACACCTGCCCGAAGTGTAGTAGTGCAAAATAAGGGTTCGCCTTCAGTGCCGACTTAGAGAAAAAGGCTAATATCAAAGGCATCGTCAAAACATCAGTGTTGACTATCCGCGCAATCGCCTACTCGTCCACTCGGATGGTTGTTGGTCGTGTTGGAATTGGTGACATTCTCGGCGTTGAAATGTCGAAATCAAACGCTTGCTTGACGATATCAAAAACGAAATTGTACTAGATCCGACTGTAACATCTAGGGGTCTCTTTGAGCAGTCTTCAAATCGACTGAACTAAGTATATGCGGGTTTCAAGGTCAGCGCAGAAAAAAAAGCCATGCCTCTGACGGGTAAAATTCTCGGAGAATACAACCCTCCGGCCGTCGATGAAGTTGACACGAAGTGGGTAGCCATAGTATCTGATGCTATAAATTGAGGTCCAACCAGACAAGTTCCATTTATAGAGCGCAATCATGATGCTATTGATGAATGAGCAGAATGCTGGCGAGAAGTAGAAGCTGGAGCTGAAGCTGAATCCGTAGTAGCAGAGTCTTGGCAAAACAGGCAACCATCGCCAGCCCATTGCGCAACCAACAGGACGAAAATTGTTAATAAAACCGAGCAATCCGTCTTCGACAAGGCGCGAGAGCAAAATGCTTCCTCAACAGGTTCGGAATTCTCTTCAGGCACTGCATATCAGCATCAATGAGTTTTCTACGTTCGTAGCTTCTCGCGGTCTCGACGATGACGTCTTTACTTCCACCACAGCAGAAGGCGGCCCCCACCTTCAGGACACTCTTGCTCAGCTTCAACAACTCTGTGAGATTGCAGAAGAGTGTATGTGGCCCTTGAAAATCTATGGAAACTTTCTGCTAAACGAGCTACCAGTAGCAAATGTTCTCCACGAAATGCGTAGTCCCATGCAGACATCAGGAAGCTGCAGCACTGTCACGGTGCATCAGCCTTTGGACATGTCTCAAACCACTCAAGAATGCAGAAAATCATACCAAGATTCTCCTGTCGAAACTCGCTCTGTGGGTCTTGAGCACGATAAATCGTTTGAAAACCTACCTGTCTCTAGCCTTACCCGGGATCTGCTGCGCAGAGGGGTACATCCTATCCGCTTTCCGAGGGATCCAAGCCTCCAGATCGGACCTATTTATCTCAGTGATATTGGAGAGGACGAAACTCCACTAATCATCATGCCCCCCAAGCGCGATCCCTATGAAGAACGGCCAGCCTCTTGCCCTGAGCCATTAGACCAGTTTGCACACTGTAAAATCTTAGTAGCAGGGGATAACTGGATGAACCAAAAAATCATGGTGAAGTTCCTTGGGAAACTAGGGATCCATAATAACGCCACAGCTTCAAATGGCCAAGCTACGGTGGACGCTGTTCGAGAGTCGATGGAGATCTACCAACCTTTCGACTTTATATTCATGGATGAGCGAATGCCGTTCTTCAGTTGCCGCGAAGCCACGGTTCTGATTCGCAAGATGGGATTTCAAGGTCCAATATGCGCTTTGCTGGTCAATGTGTCGTTAACAAGCAAGGAGAAAGCTTTCGACGCGGGTGTTACTACGATTCTCCAGAAGCCATTCCGGTTCAGTGCGGTTCGAGATACCCTGGAGCAGTATCTGACGCCTCTTGTCGAAAAGCCAATAGTTGACGAAACGCCATTACCACGACGGAAACCAGATATCAACTCGAAACTTTAGGCCTCTTTTTGGTCTTTTGATGCAGCATGCATGCTTTCCTCTGTTGTCCGTGCTTCAAGAAGTTACACGAACGAAACTGTTATATTACTAAACTTGAGAAAGTTGGCTTCATAGCTCATTTCTTTTGGATACTCCAGTCGTAGGGCGAAATCAAGTTACTATAGATCTGCTGGGAAGGCTTCGCATCCCTATAATTCAATTACTAGTCTTGTTGGCATTGTTTGGAATGAAAGAGTCGTATTTGGCAATTTTGATATGGTCAGAGAGATCATTACAATTAGTGGCTGATGTCGTTTTACCTTGTATCATGGCTAGCTGTTCAGCTGAGCCACCAATTTATTTAGCAAGTCTTACGCCAAAACTATGTACTCATTGCAAGCCAAGCTGCTTTTGGTACACATTATCACTCATACTGAAAACCGTTGCTTCACCAAAACTCGACTACTCTCACGCATTCTCAGGAGTAAGTAATGCAGCAGCCTTTGGCTGCGTCCGTATCGGAAGGGTAAAAACACTTTAAGTAAGCTTTCGCAATCCAAACTCGTAAGCAAAAGTCATCGGATCAGCCAATGTAACTGCTAGTGGGTAGTATGGTGTGCATGACGTCTGCGCGTCATACAAGAAAGGTATTTCGTGTTAAAGTCCGATCTGGAGCTGACTATGCCACTGTTACACTGACTGATGAGAGGACTCCAAGTGCATACGTCATGATTAGTGTTGACGGTGGTACCTGTGTTGTACGGGACTATATCGAGTGACGAAACAAAGAACGATGCATTCACGACTGGAGGCACGTCAGGAGATGAGCAGCCTCACCGTTAAACAATCTTCGGGGATGTGACACATGGTATCTTTGACTATTCGAGTTTCAATTCGAGTGGTCTTACTATGAAAGCTTCTATGATAAGACATGGCGAAGAAGAACTAGATGCGTTTGGAGAGGGAGTAGCCACCAAGTGTCGTACCCCATGAGATTGGGCAACGTGGCAACAGCACCACAGTGTCACTTGCGATACCACATCCTCGTCACCTTCTGCTGTCTCATCTTCTTCTGCAGCTGAAAAATCCCATAAAGAAGAGCCTCAGCGGTAGGCGGACAACCAGGGATGTAAATGTCCACTGGCAAAATACGATCGACACCGCGAAGCACACTGTAGCTGTAGTGATAGTAACCCCCGCCATTGGCACAGCTGCCCATGCTTATAACCCATTTGGGATCTGGCATCTGGTCGTAGCAAAGCCGGACAGCAGAAGCCATCTTGTTGGTGACGGTACCGGCGACGATCATGATGTCGGCCTGGCGTGGCGAGGCTCGGAAGATGATGCCCAGGCGGTCCTGGTCATAGCGTGGCATGGAGCAGTGCATCATCTCGATGCCGCAACATGCTAGGGCAAAGGTGAGAGGCCAGACGGAGCCTTGCCGTGCCCAGTTGGCAATCTGATCGAACGTCGTTCTTGGGTGCGTGTCAGCCTCCTGGGTGATCGAGTCGAGCCAGGTGTGAGGGTGGACTTACAAGACATATTCGACTGCATTGCTCGGCCCTGCCTGTGAAGGCAGTGGGGTCATTGTTGGGAGGAGACTCTTGGACCGGGTATTCTTGGGGCCGTGGCTCTGATGGCGCCTACCATTCACACATGTAGCTGGTAGAAGTGATAGCACTGGTGGTGTTCTGGGAACTAAGGCCAGGCGATGGGCAGCAACTTGATGTCAGTCGTCAGCTAGAATAAGCAAACTGGGGAGAGGGGAAGTACTGCTGAGCATGCGTGTAGTTGCCATTGGAGAGAACGAGGATATCGTATAAAGAAGGGTAAAGATGAAAGAGACTGCAGAGAGGGGCAGTGGGTGATTGTTCAAGATTAGGTACAAGAGGGAAGAGAGACAGCAAGTGGCTTGCCACCTTGTAATCTGTGCCCAGCGCTCATTGTGAGGAGCGAACCCGGAAAGGCATCTTGCAGAAACAAGGATTCACATGCACGTGAGGCATTGGGAGAGAATAGGAGCATACATCTGAAAATAGAAGAAAATCACAAACTAAATGACCCAAAAGTGATAAGAGACAGTTTAGTAATAGCTATAATGGTAAATAAGATACATAAAAGGGTGCATTCATGGTGCTGTGCGTCAGTGTCGACTCTGGTGCTGAGTAGCATGAGGCTCAAGCGACTTAGAAAAAGTAGGAAGTCGGCAGAACCGACCATGGTTTTTGGGTGGGCATCGGAGCGTACCTCAACATTTCGCTCAGCCCTATATGGCCGGATGTGGTATGTTAAGCGTGAGGACCCACCGCTCCAAAAGAGACCGTGCCGTGCAGGGGCATGCAGAATCCATCGGTCTTCTTGGATGGGACGCAGTGATTTGCTCGTCGCTAGCGTCGCTGCCGGCTCTCCCCGTCACAACCGCTTTCACCCGCTATGCTACATGCCTGTGCTAGCACCATCGCCGCTGGTGAGTATCTTCACTTGCATACACACCCTGCCTATCATGCATTTCCAAATGGACTTGACTCGAAAACTCATTCGGGACAGAATGAGTTCCCAACATACGATTACTAGATTTAAAATGACACCAGATGTGCGCCTTAAGTACATATATGATAACATATATATATCTGATGACCACGACACCAAGGTTCAGGCCGCCCGCGTTGTAGCTATGGATCAATGTCATTATTGCACACCCCACATAGCAGATAGTACACCTGGTGGGGATCGGCCCGTCCACAGTACAATGACATCGCATTCTCTCCACTCAAGCCCAGACAGTAGCCAGATGCATGTCCAATCACCTTTCCCTTGTTTGTTTCGATATGACTTAGTGCATGAATAGCTACTCTACTATCGGAGTGCTACCAGTCGTCCGTCTACTTACACTGCACAAGTCAAAATTAAGCAGCCACTCGTGTCTCCGCGGAGCTTACCACCCACTAGAGCTGCCGACAACCGGACAACCTGCTCCAGGTCTCCCATCAAAGGGATTATGTGACACCGGGAGTATTTGTGAACCCCTTTACTACACCCTCGCCGGAACTCAACAAGTGCACTCTCCCTGCGGGGAAAACAACCTCTGCTGTAGTGACCAATCAGTGTCTTGACAAATGACTTTTCACTGTCTTCTTCGATTTGACTAACCGCGCTTGCCCGAGAAACACTTTCCGCCATACATTCTTAGTTGTATATGAGATTGCATCTCACAAGAACATGTGAGTTGCATCGGCGAGGAGCGGCTTTCGTAAATCAGCCAACCCATGGAATGATGAAACTTTATTTATAGTGAAATCCTTTTATCCAAAAGTACTATTTTACAACACCATTCACAAAAGCCAAAGGGTATCTGCAACGAGAAGGGTAACACAAATCCTACAATCAATCCCTATTCAAGACATCAATGATCCACTGGACTGCATTCTTCGCTTCCTTCAGTCCATACGGCATGGTGAGTACAAAGCAATGCATCTGCTTCTCCCAATGAACCCACTCTCCCTTGACGCCTGCTTTCGCGCATTTCTCACGCAGTATGATACCATCGGGGCTCAAGACATCGTGGCCAGCAGTGATACCATGGACCTTGATGTTCCTCTTAGCCAGCAGCGAGATATCAGCATTAATAGGAGAGATGCGGCGATCGGCAGCCTCCCAGTCACCGCGCCAGACTTTTGCCGTTTCTCTGATGGTTTTAGGTGTAAGAAGAGGGTCTTTGGGCGCAATCTTATCGATGTCTGGGTTTTTGCGGGTCAGGTCGATTGAGGCGCATACGGTCATGATGGCTATAGGATGCGGGTTCGTTTCTTGTTGCTCGCTGTCTTCTCTTAGAGCCTCCAGGACAAGGCATAGAGCGATGTTTGCGCCGGATGAGTCGCCCGCGAGAATGACCCTTTCTCCGGCTTTCTCGGCCTCTGCCATGAGAACGCGATATGTCTTCAGGCACATGGGAAACGAACTTGGCGCGGGATTGTTGGGCGCAAGCGGAGTTGAGACAATGGAGATGGTTGTATCGGGCATGTCTTTGGCCATCTTTGCGCATAACTCGTAGTGTTGTGGTGAGGGCGGTTCCTGCCAGCTGCCTCCTGCAAAGTAATATATCCGCTTTTTGCAGGGCTTTACAGGTCTGTTCGGGGGTACCATGTCGTATATGTACATGTCGCAAACAGTGCGTTCGCGGAGTGTGCATCCGCTCAGCTTCGACTTGGACGGGTTGAGCCGGATGGAGCCATCCTCGTGCTTTGGCGTGCGATTCCCAAGCTGAGAACGCATTAGTCTGACCAGTGACTGGACGACGAACATGAGAAGAGTACGGTCATTGCGGAGGGAAACTTGGATGGATGAGCCTGACTCCGTAGCCCCAGTAGTAAGTTCATCAGATCTCATGGCGATTATGTTTGGTATTCAGAGTGATTCGAGAAGAAGGTGAAAAGAGACCCTGCAGCAGGGAGTCAGCATGCAGGGTAGGAGACCGCTTGTATGCATCCATGCTGACCGTAAGGTGCAGCCATCATTGATATCTGGGAATTTGCATTTGTCACGGGACGAGCGACACATTGATGGTAAAGAAAGGGATCAATGACGTTGTGGCGCAGCTTGTGAAGATCGATTCGGGAGCCCTAGACAGGCTCGGGAAGATCTGACATGTGTTGGCGGATCTGCACCCAGCAAGACAGCAGCGTGAATGTAAACTGACGAAGGCAGCGCTGTACATATCAATAAGAGCGGGTTCTAGAACCGCTCAGAAAGAGAAGCTAGCCTGGAAATCATCATCTGATAGTTGAGTTGAGATAGTTGCGTTCCGGCTCATGACGTTGCTCGACACGATGTCGCCATGCCCGCGCCAAGCCAAGAGGCACTCCCAATTTTGTGCCGCCTTGGGCTATCACTATTGACATCTCCAACATCGCAACTCGTCTTGCTGTGCACCACTGCTACATGATATGGAAATACGAAATATCCTATACGTACCAACAACTCCCATTTCAATGGCCATTGTGATGCGCGTGCACGAGGGCGGATCTGAGCAGATGACGTAGCGCGCTTGGATTCCAAAGGACAACCCACACTACACATGTCGTTGAACCCTATGCCAACGATCGTTCCTACCAAAGTTTATTCCTGCCTTATCGGATTTTCTGCATGCAGTATCTCACCGACAACATGTGGCTAGTGCACTGGCTGGCAGAGACTAATCAGTTATTTCTGACGTGCGCAGACGTGGAGAACAGCCCACTCACGCTGGGCAAATGTCTTGGTCTCGAGCGCTGAGTGGCGGTGCAGCAGGCGGAAATTGCTGCCAGGACCGAATCCCGCTCGCTAACTGTACAACTCCCATGCGCCTGAGCCGATTCCGTCTTGGGTGTCTTGTCATTCTGGGCTTCCTTCGTTCCATTTCGTCTAACTGGCGACACTCCACCTCGTTAGCATGTTTAGCAGCATCAACGCCTTGGCCTACGTGGGTCGACCAAGACTTGCAAAACAACCGACCTTATCGGGGAAATTTGTTAAAGATGAAGCACGCCGGACAATGGATATACCAATTAATTAACAAGTTCCGACTGCAAATCCATCAACTCACTTTCCACGCGACGTCATCAGTCAATGGCTTCGCAAGCCTATCTCACGGACGAGGAAATTAAGAAATTCATTGACGATCTCGACCACGACAAAGATGGCAACATCAGCTACTGGGAACTGGAGCGAAAGCTGGATCAGGTGCACAAGGAGATAGCCCCGAAAGCCCAACCGCATAATCTTCACCACAAATCTCGTGGCGATGAAGCTCGACACGAGTTCCTCAGGCACGTCATTGGAACGCGCGAGGACCACATCAAACGCGACGACTTCGCAAGGACCGTGAAAACATGGGAGATTCCTTCGCTTGAGGCTGATCGCAAAGAAGCAAAAGATGAAGACGACTACCTAAAGCACATCTCGCTCTATCGGCGAGCGCGAGCCTACTGGGCTGTCAAGGGGCCCGAGATCGTTTTTCTAGCACTTGTCCTCCTGCTTATGATCGGTTTCGGAGTCTGGCAATTCGTCAAATATCTCACTTTCGACCAGTACACGCCTGCATTCGGATGGGGAGTTGTGCTTTCAAAGACGTGCGCGGGCGTGCTATACCCGACCTTCTTTTTCCTCATTCTCTCCATGTCCAGGTGGCTGTCGACGTTCCTCCGCCGCTTCTACTTTATTTCGAGATTCATCAACTGGGACCTGTCTCAGTCATTCCATATCAAGATCTCCATTGTCGCGCTAGTTTTTGCGACTTTGCACGCTATTGGCCATCTTAGCGGCTCCTTCGTCTTTGGTAGTATGGCGAGTCGACAAGATGCGGTTGCCAACGCCCTCGGGCCAGATGCTGTACCGCGCTCATATACCAGCTTTCTACGTTCTCTGCCAGGGTGGACCGGTCTTACATCTCTTGGACTTTTCTATCTCCTGGCAATCATGAGTATGCCTCAGATACGAAAATGGAGTTATGAGGTCTTCCAACTCGGCCATTTGCTGATGTTTCCCATTATTGGGTTCATGATGGCGCATGGTACTGCAGCCCTTTTGCAGTGGCCAATGTTTGGATACTGGCTTGCTTTCCCGACGCTAATGGTTCTCTTTGAGCGCGTTTGGCGGTTGGTTCTAAGCTTTCGCCCGATCACTGCTGACATCGAGCTACTGGACGAGGAGACTGTCGCTATCACGGCAAAAGTTCCCAAGACTCGCCCTTGGGACTATAAGGCTGGTCAATATGTGTTTGTGCAGGTTCCACAACTGTCACGGTTCCAGTGGCATCCGTTTACGGTGTCTACATGCATCAAGAACACCATGCAGGTTCATATCAAGGCTGATGGCGACTGGACGAACCAACTCCGTGATCTGGCTAAGCAGGGGGGTAAGCAAAGCATCAAGATTGGATTAGATGGTCCATTTGGCGCACCCGCGCAGCGATTCTACGACTTCGAGTACAGCATGGTCTTCGGGTAGGCTGAATACGCCCTATGTTCATAAGACCCAAGTGCTAACGCCCTACAGTGCCGGTATCGGCGTGACACCCTTTTCCGGAGTACTGACCGATCTACAACACCATGAACTCGAACGCGTCAAGTCTCAGGAAAACTCCGCTGAGCTCTCCGACGACACTCGTCAACAATCATCGCCTTACACCAACCACCGCCGAGTGGACTTCCACTGGATGGTCCGCGATAAGAATAACCTGCTCTGGTTCTCTGACCTCTTGAACGAAGTCTCTCGAACAGGACCTAAAGCCCCAGATCTCGACATCCGCGTCAACACGTACGTGACACAGAAGCGCAAGCAAATCTCTCAACATGTCTTCAGGTGGTTGTTGGAAAAACATCGCACGCCAGAGTTTCCTCAGTCGACCATCACTGGTCTTGTTAATCCTACACATTTTGGACGCCCAGACATCCGCGGCATCATGGAGCGACATTATGATGATATGAGCAAGGTGCTAGCGGAGGGACTGGTTGATAAGAATCAAGGCGGAAACGATGAAGTCAAGGTTGGAGTCTTTTTTTGTGGTCCGCCAGTGATTGGTCAGCAGATTGCGGATCAGTGCAGCATGTTGAGTGCGAGGGCGCGGAATGAGGGTAGGAAGATTGAGTATCGATTCATGATCGAGGTCTTTGGTTAGATTGTGCAATTTGGAAATATAGAAATATCTATCAAAACTCTTGATTCCCTAACTCTAAACAAAAATTCTGATTTCCATTGTTTGTGAAAGCAATATTCCACCAGACAAAAGAGGTGAAAACAACGTTGCGTATCCATGAACTTCGAATGCAGGGCACGTGCACTACTACGTATCGCCACTAACTCCGCAGCATTAACGCCGACGTGTCGGAACGGCACCTCCACACCCGCACTCACCACCTATACACAAACATTCTCAGCAACCACAAACCCACCATAACCTCCTCTTACTTAATCCCTCGCAAAAACCGCTACCCCCTCTTCTACCTCTCTCTCTACACCCCTCTAATTCCCCCCGGATTCACCTCAACCCACCAACCCCGCTCCACTCCCCCCCCTCTCTCTCTCTCCATCCACTCCGCAACCATGGCCTCAACCGCCGCAAAGCGCCTCTTCAAAGAATACCGAGCCCTCTCCTCCGACCCCCCCGAGGGCATAACCGCGGGCCCCATAAACGAAGACGACATGTTCATCTGGGAAGCGCTGATTCAAGGTCCCGAGGGCACACCGTTTGAAGGCGGCGTGTTCCCTGCTGAACTGCGTTTTCCAAAGGATTATCCGCTTGCGCCGCCGAAAATGAAGTTTCTTACTGATATGTGGCATCCGAATGGTAAATGTTCTTCCTTCCCACACATTACACACACACACACATAGGAGTCTGATGGGCGAGGGGAGGTTGGAGAGAAGGTGGATTTATGCGGAAAAGGAAAAAAAAATGGAAAAGCGAAGCTAACGTTCGGTGATTTAGTCTATCCCAACGGCGAAGTCTGCATCTCGATTCTCCACGCGCCAGGCGAAGATCCAATGCAATACGAACAAGCGTCGGAAAGGTGGTCGCCGATACAGAGTGTGGAGAAGATACTGATTAGTGTGATGAGTATGCTGGCCGAGCCGAATGATGAGAGTCCGGCGAATGTGGATGCGGCGAGGATGTGGAGGGAGAAGAGGGCCGAGTATGAGAGTATTGTTCGGACCAATGTGAGGAAGAGTTTGGGCTTGTGAGATTCGGTTTATGGAGCATGCAAGTTATGAATTCACATGTGCAGTATGGAGTTGGGATTGAAAAATGTCATCATCTTCGGTTTTGTTTCGCTTGTTGTGCGGTTGATGATTGATGTGAAGCATTTATTTGAAAAAATAAAAATTAAGAAGAACAATAATAGTAATAACGCCGTGTCCCGCTGGCCCAAATTCATCAAGGATTCTCGCCCTCATCCCGTCATAATCTCATAATCGCTCAAACAATCTCCAAATCAAAGGCCTCGCCATAGCCATTGTAGCACACGCCCCGGTAATTCCACGTCGGACACTTGGCTTGTACATTACCACTCCGATCCGTAGCGCGACTGAAAATCGTAACACCCTTGCCCTTGTCAATCTTGACTCTTGCTTTCCACAGTGTCCACGCCCATTTGAGCTCCACATTCTTGGCGTCTTCGCCTTCGCACTCGTTGATCAGCTCAGCCTCCTCCCACGACTGTCCATCATCGACGCTAACTTCGACCTTGGCAATGGGACCGTCTGCTCCACTGGGTAATGCGTAGCCCCTGACTTCGATGGTGCAATCGGCATCTCGTTGGACGGTAGTTCCGGACTTTGGGACACCGACGACGCTGTTGACTGGCATTTCCACAATCGAACTCACTTTGCCCCACCATTCTTTTGCCTTTTCCTTGCTATCTGCCTCTGGGGGCAGGACCTTGTAGTCTTGCTGCTGGTAGTAGTTCTGGCTCTCGCCTAGTTGAACGGATATCTGATCGAGCCACTTGACACACCTGGCGCCAGCAATGCCGGGAGTGACGACGCGAACAGGGGCGCCGCGGTTTGGTGTGAGTGGCTTGCCATTCATCTCAAGAGCAATCATAATCGCATTCTCTGGATTCATCGCTCGTGAAAGCGGGATGCTGGCGCCGTAGTAGCTGTCGTCTTGTGTGGTCGTCTGAAAGCAAGAAAAAGCGACATGAGCTTCGCTCATTTTTCCCTCTTCAACCTTTACACCGGCCTTGTCCAGGACGTCTTTCAGAAGAGGCCCACTCCACTTGCAATTCATGACTGCGCCATCATACCAGTCTATGCCGCAAACTTCCTTTAGTTTCGTTCGCATGGTATGGCGACGGTTTCCAGCACACTGCAGCGCACTAACAACATGGTGCTGCGGAAGTGCCTTGAGGTCTGCAATGGAAAGCGAAATCTCATTGTTTACAAGCCCGGTAATCGCTACTCGGTGCGTATCAATGTCGATGTACGGAATAGGCCCATGGTTACGATCGTAGCCGTCTTGTGTGATGAAACTAGACCCACTGTTAGCCCCCCAGATTTCACTCTTGCTCCACTACTGGCGCTTGCGGCTCTAATATACCTCTGAACGAGCTTGTCAAGCTCCGGCTCGCGATTTAGCGGCTTTTCGACCGAGTATACAAGCTATGACATCAGAGTCAGCCCTACGGTTCGTATAGAGAGCGAAAAACCCAGTCTGGGGGCCAAACTAGGTAACATAGTCTGCCGTTTTGGGCAAATTTGATGGCGAAAACGGGGCATGTACCTGAACCATGGTGGTCGATTGTGGTATGGCGGCGATGGCGTGATTGAGTGATGGAAGGCGTAGACGAAAAGCAGCGGGACCGCGCAGGTATAAGCGACGGCCGTGGGGGCGGGGTAACGGCGGCTTCGGCTTTATGGCTGGAACCACGTGTTGGTGCAATGAGGCAGGTGCAGAGGCGGTGAACGGGTAGCAGCGGTCTGGCGACCTTGGTTCCTTGGAGATGCACACAGGTTGGGGATGAGAAGGAGGTCGAGGATTTATTGAATCCTGCACGATATGCTTTGATCGGCGTCATGGCGCTTGAATGGCAGTAGCTTTGGTGATATCGGGGTCTACACGGTGGTTCTAGTATTGGGTTTGGCCATCTGCTTTTGTAGGGTCACTGCGCAATCGCCGTTATTCACTTCGGGGATTAGCTAATATCGGGGTCTACGTCACGTCGGGGACTACTTGAGAACAACGCTCAATGGTCCTGTTATAACACCCATTGAACTCGTGCATTCTGTCGTCGTATACTCACTTATCAGTACACGTTCCTTCTGCAACATCCCGATGACGCGACCCCTTCTGTATATCGCCATTGGTTGAACCTCCTCACCAGCCGCACATGCATACATTTCTCTCCACCTTACGCCCGAAAAGCATATCGAGACTATCCGTATCGAGCAGATCTATTCTCTCCTCGTGCTCATCTCATTGGCCTCTGTGCTGTGGACGGTCTGACCGCTATCTTGAGGCAGAGCACTGATGCTTCCGCCGCCGATCAACCCCTATGTATGGATCTCGTGAGATACCACGTCTCGCTGCCTCATCCTCGAACGACTTATCATCCCGTTGGAAGAACTGCCGATCCTGGTACCGTTTTGTTTTCACACCTCCGCAATCTGGCACGTATAAGCCATTGAAGAAGGAAAGTGGTGGTTCCGACCGAGCATCTTCATGGGCTGGGAAATCTGGATACTCCTCCGTTTCCTGTTCGGGCAGGTCCTTACCATCCTCGCTATCAACTCTCCTCAACACCCCCTCCATGACCTTCCATATTCCCCCTCTCCTTTTATCCGCTCTTTCTCGCCGTTCCCTTTCCTCTCGCTCTCTTTCCCTCTCCCTCTCCCTCTCCCACAAAACATCTTCCACACCGCCAGTCCTACACCGCACACATTCCCCTGTACACGTATGCACCTGCTTAACAACAACGCATCCGACCCTCTTCTCTCCTTCTTCCCTAGTGCTAACCCCGCGAGTATCCCTCGAACTGTAGCGAGCATCTCCAGCTACGAGCGCCAACGCTGAAATCACCACCATCTGAAAAGTCATGAATAGGATAGGTATGAAGATCAGAGCTGCATCTTGAACAGAATTTTCACTCATGATGTCGGTCTGAGCGAGATGGAGGTGAGTAGGTGCTATGCTGAGTACTTGATCAAGAGTGCAGTATCGATTTTCTTCTAGTGTGAATGGTACATGTATTGTCTCGTTGCGAACGGAAGCAGGTATGTATACACGGATGATACCAAGATACTTCGTTTGTCGTTTGATCATGTTCGCTGGTTAGAAACTGGGAAGAGCAGTTACTGCGAGGTAGTCGCATTCTGCGGTTGTCGATTCGAGCATGGAAGACCCTCTGGGCAAATCAAGCATCTTACAACTCGCGAGCTAATTAGCATACTGGAAATGCGTTGGGTCGAGTTGTAGGAAGACAGCTACGTTCGCTCAACATGCTGCGTTTGGTCGGACACGAAGTACTTTGCCAGCAATCCACAAACGAGCAGTAATAATCTTGCATTGGCACCTAAGTATGACATTCGTAAATGTTTGCCAAACCAACAACCCTAGGCTCAGGTGAACCGAAAGGAGCCGAAGAAGGAATACCAATAGTCGAAATAGCCATACCAAGAATTCAATGATAACTCACTCAACCAGCCCAAACGGCACCCCCCGCGATCATCACATCCCCATATCATAGCCATCCATCTCCTCGTCCACGTCATCAACATCAGATGAGTGCCAACCTTCGGCATCGCTCTCTTCCATAAATATCTTCTCAAAGCTCGAATCGCCCCAGTCAGCTTGCTTTGTCGACTGACACAGGGCCATCGCCTCGAATTCATGATAGTTGTGCTGAATAGTATCCTGTGACAGTTCATACAGACACCGGGACCCATTCCTGGCTTGGGCCATCTGCGATGTGTGAGTACCAGGGCGTTCAACTCTAGAACAGTAGTTTCCATAGTCAGAGCTAGAGCCAAGCGATGAAGGTGTAGACGGCGGTGTTGGATACGGCTCATTCCTTACCCGATCTGGCTTCCTGTAGATCACTTTCTCAGACTCATTTTGCAGCTGAGAAGATGGAGAATCGGTCTTGATTAATGGAGCGGCCATATTAATCGAGATACTCAAACGGCGCATCTCGCGTGTGCAAAATTTGTCATCAGGTGTGTCATCCTGCGCCGATTGAAGCATAGAACAAGATAGATCTGTAGGTGGTGATTCGACCTGGCTGTCAGCCACATCAGTCTTCTTTAGCTTTCGGCGCTTAAGCTGGATATCTGGGGCACCATGCGTGCGGTTATCGTCGGGATGGATAGCGTTGTCCTCGCGCGATGAATTCGTGCGTTTTTTTGGTGCTTTTTTCCCGGTTTCCAACTCTGGATCATGTACATTCTGCATCGACACACCTGAGGCAACGGGTTCGACGTATTCCTTCGAATCGCAGCACTCGCTATTGGGATCGGGTCCACGGTCCACCAACTCGACCAGAGAATCTGGCGGAGAAGTAGGAACATGCCGGCAACCATGCGACTGAAGAGAGTTGGTACTTTTGTGCGGTGGTATAACCAATGCCAGTGTAGTTGGTACTCCGTGGGTTTCCGTCATCGAGTTAACTTCTCGGGCGTGTGCCAGTTCAACTTTGATGACGTACCGTGATGTACGTTCGAAAAGCACGTTTTTCGGAAAGCGTGTGATGACTTTAGCCTGCATTATTGTCTCCAACACTGCTGCATTGTTGCCCTATAGTCAGCGGTCAGCAAAGCAAATAGAGCTGCCGTATGCCGGAAAGTTTCATCATACCTCCAACCTGTCTGGTGCCTGCATGAGGAAGAACCTGCCCTTATGGTACCATTTAGCCGCGGAGGAAGATTTTGTCACAACATATTCGACATGGTCGGGAAAGCTTTTGCATCCCGATATTCCAGCGTCTTGACGAACCGGGCGGCGGCAAGGGGCAATACCGTAGTGAGCTCCTGGCTTTATCTGAGCAGGAGCAAGCTTGAAGTAGAATACAGGGGGATGCCAGGCTATATCGGCAGTGACAGCGATCAACGGAAAGGAAAACCAATCGATTAAATATTTGACGAACAGGCATGGTCCAGCTGGGGTGTTCTTAAAGCAGTCTTGTATGGAGATAAAGTTGTAGATAAAGCTACGAAGACTGCCGGAACCAAGCGCCCACTGGAGGTTTCGCACAGCAGCCGGGCTCGTAAGCTCTTTGCAGTAGGCACCAATCATGTCCTGAAGAAGACCGGAAACATCGATATTGATGAAGCATGCGTAATTCTCTGGAAAAGACTGCATGAGACAGGGAAGAAGGGAAACTTCGTCGACATAATCTAGATCATGCTTAGTAGAGGTTACAAGAAAGCAGAGAGCCTGTCAATGCAATGGAGCCAAGCTCATTTCCATTTCCAGTCTCAGTGTAGATTATATGGGATATCTCCAAGAGTACATGGTCACCTTTGCGTTTGCTCAATTGGATAATGGCAGTGCGTCGCAAGCGTTTTTCAATCTGCGAGACTAAGCACTGGTGGAACAAGGACTCCCAGAGCGCAAGCTCGTGAGCTTGCACGTAAGACATGGCCTTCCAGCAAGATATCGTATCGAGATGACTGACAGCTGTTCCTAATCAGCACCACGAAGCCCTGGATGCGATCTGACACAGGTAGGATATGCACACCTTGCTGCGTGTCTAGTGACTTCCGTAGCCTAGGTTGGTACATGTGGCCAAATGATGCGTGGGCATTTGCAGCGAGACCGCGCATCTCCACGTTAAAATTCACTTCAGCCAAGAGGGTTACTATATGCGGATTCGCTATGGTCGTCGTAACTAGCGATGGATGAGCATTGCTGTCAGCGCCGACACTCGGGTGCAGCGACGACTAGGGAAGTCAGTAGTGCTCGCACGGCGGGGCTGATGTGCTTACAAGAGGCTTGGTAGACATGCTGTATTGCTACTAATCAATAGATGCGCGGGAATAATGCGGTGATCTGAAGATGGGCAATTGGTTCGGGAGCGGTAGTGCTAGTGATGTGAGGCATGGTGCAGAGGTTGGAACTCGTTACGGGTGGGCAGCCATGAGCGCCTTCCTCTTGTACTGACTGACGCGCAGGCAGCGCTCGCAACAAACAACAGAATGCAAATGGCACCTTCCCGCCTTGTAGGGCGGTGCATGTACCACACTGACCCGTCTATATGGCGTCCATGGAAGCGCGCGTGGTGAGGCGCTCGTTCTTATTACCCAGTTTGGATATCTGAAGAAAGGCATCAACTCCATATCCTTCGAGGCTATGTATTTCCAGGCTTCCAGCCCAATATTCTAAAGACAGTTAGACCTATCGAAGTGAGCCTGTCGTCACTTGCTTACCTGCATACAGCCGCGACATAGGAAGCCCGATGCCGAGACGGAGATCTGGCGCACGACTGGTCAACGAAGATAAAGAGCCTATATGATGGCCCGAGTCGCCATATTTTGATCGCGTATCTTGCTTTTGTTGTATCTCGGCGGCAGTCTCAGCGCCAGGCACTTGTAATTCCTGCAGCGTCCCGAGGAGCTTCGGTACCCTCGCCAAATTCTCCATGCGCCTCTCGCGTCGCGGCCCTTTGCTGAAGCTCCACAGATAAGGCAGAACCTCATTCGGGATGCCACCGCCCTGGTCAGAGATACGGATGATGACGTGCTGCGAAGTCTCGCAGATCAAAACTTCAATTGGTGGCAGCTTGGTGCCTTTGGATTTGGGCTGTTCAATGACGGCCTGGATTGAGTTGCGCAGCAATTCACCGATGATGTACTCGAGATGGCTCAAGATGTAGGGGAACGTTGCTTCGACATGGCCGTAGACTTTGACTTCGGGAATTGCAACATCGGGGCCATAGGTACGTCTGATCAGCTCTCGCATAGTCTTTCCGCAGTCTTCGACAATTTCCTTGGCGTTGCATCGCAGAAAGATCTCGCCAACGGCTTCTTGGTCATGTGGAGGGTGCTTGGCCTGGGGGAAGTGCCAGGGCGAGTTGAAGGTTTCGGTGAGAGCAAGGTGTTGTTCTGCAATGACTCTGCGAGATATGCGCTGATTTGCATCAGTATGGTTCAAGTGCGTGTGTGTAAGAGTAAAATCATACGGAGCGTAGCATGGTGGTCATGAACTTGTCGGTTTCCTCTGGCTTGATGAGGCCTCGCACCTCCAAGACACCTGTTGCGAGGCGGGGTATGACGGTCGCGTGCTCGGTCAGCGTCTCCTCGAGCACCTTGCAATACTTGTCATTGTCTTGCAGCGAGTGTATTTCAGGTATGCGACGAAAGCGCTCAAAAGCGCGCAGGTATGATTCGTAGACATGGGCAAGATGGGGATTGGCGACGACGACGTAGGGCAGGGTTTGGATATCGCGAAGACGATGGGCGAGCCTGCAGAGAGTCAGCAGGATGCTCCGGCACACAGGGCGCCAAAGTAGGACCTGGTGGGAAGCTCCAATCTGCAGTAGTTGGCCGAGTCGAGCAGACGAGACTCGGTGAGGGTTCTTCCGAAGAAAGTCAACTGGCGCAAGCTTATGGGCCTGGCTTCACGCTGGACCCATCTGTAGTCGGGCATCAGCTCTAGTGGCCATGGAGGATGAGTTGCTGGTACGCAGCTTACTCGTCGAGGGCCGAAGACGGTCTCCATGTGGGCGCAACGGCTGCGGCATGCTGAGAACGGGCGTGGGTTTGGGCAAGGCAGACTGGGCGAGGGGCTCTTCGCAAGCCATTGTAGGAGCACCGCACAGCCGGTGCGAGACGGTGTCTTCCTACAATCATAGCTGCCGAGAGTCTCAGAGGCAAGTGTTTGGGTTTACGAGGTTCTGTTGGCACTGCACCTGGACACGGGCACATGTGACATTGAGCTCCGCACTCGGGCGCACCACTGCTTTGGACGGGCGAACCTCAACACCTGGGATTTTCTGACTGCGCCCAAGTACAGGCAGTCTACAGAGGACGCTTCGTCAGCAGATGCAGACGCGCGCAACTATACAACAGAAAGCGTGCTGTGTGTGTTGCAAGCGTCAATGGTGGCCGGGGGACATGGCATGATGTCTTGCCAGCCTCGGACGGGACAACAAACTGACGAATGACGTCGTAAGCTCAGTGCTCTCCACCGTCGACAAACGCCAAGGCTGCACCGCACTTGCAGACAAGAGAAGCTCGCTCGCTGGCTGGCTGGCCGTTGGCGTGCAAGTCCTGTTCTCCCCCCCGGCTTCTGTCTTTGTGTGCCGCAGACTGCCCTCTCCTAAGCCTCCCGCCAAAGTACACTGCATCCTCCTACCCCTACATACATAATTTTTTTTTATTTTTTTTGGGACTGTGGCAGATCGATAATCCCATCGTCACGTCTCCACAGCCGCCACCTTTTAGCGAGACAGCCATCCTTGCCCGTGTGTCGCTCGCGCGCATCTGCTTCCGCCCGCCTGCAACTTCGTTCCTTTCAGACTGAGACGGCGACTGGCGCGCAGCTTTCCTCAGCCACCCACCCTGCGTTGAGCGCACACCATCGTGCCTTCCCGCCCGCCATCCATCCCGGAAGCTCCTTCCCTGCCGACGCTGCTGTTGCTGCCGTTGCTGCCTGTCTGTCCCCGCCGCCGCCGCCACTACCACCACCACTTCTACCAGCACTACCTCCCGCTGCTGCCGGGCCCGAGCAGACACCATGGACCAGGTGAGCTTGCGCCCTCGGCTGTACTTCGACACAATGCCCCAACATGCTGACCCCACTGTGCCTGCAGCTTGAGAGTGACATGCTTGTCGACCACGAGTACGACGAAAAGGCCGACGTTGCCATCATCACGCCCGACACGGACGATGCCATGGACGACGTCGACGCCGATGCCGAACCCCGCGCAGACGAGTACGATGCTTTTATGAAGAGGCATATGCCCAAGACTGCCGAGTATGAGACAGAGGCCGAGGCCTACCACACCTGGGAGATCAGGGACTGGCGGACACTTACTAGGCGTGAACACGGCCCCATATTCGAGTGCGGTGGACATCCCTGGCGTATTCTCTTCTTCCCCTACGGTAACAACGTCGACTTTGCCTCCTTCTACCTCGAGCAGGCCTACGACGAGAAGCAGATGCCCGAGGACTGGTATGCCTGCGTAGAGTTTATGCTTGTCCTATGGAACCCAAATGACCCCAGCATCTTCACTACACACACCGCACACCACCGCTTCACCGCCGACGAGGGCGATTGGGGCTTCACACGCTTCGCCGAGCTTAGAAAGCTCTTTAGCAACTCATGGGAGGATCGTGGCCGGCCAATGGTCGAGGATAATGCTGCCAATGTGACGGCATACGTCAGAGTGCTCAAGGACCCCACCGGTGTGCTATGGCACAACTTCATCAAGTGAGTCTTGGCATTGCGACGTCCAGAGTCTTGCTTCTGACTTGTCTAGCTACGATTCGAAAAAGGAAACCGGCATGGTTGGTCTCAAGAACCAGGGCGCAACATGTTACCTGAATTCGCTTCTTCAATCCCTGTTCTTCACGACGGCGTTTCGTCAAGTAGGTACCAAGCCTGAGCTAACGATACTTCTACTGACCTCAGTAGGCCGTGTACCAAATCCCTACTGCGGAAGAGGCCGACCGTTCGAATAGCGCATACGCCCTGCAGAGGCTATTCTACCTATTACAAACATCAACCACCGCTGTAGGAACCACGGAATTGACCCATTCTTTCGGTTGGGACTCTAAGCAGATTTTTGAGCAACAAGATGTGCAGGAGCTATCTCGCGTGCTCATGGACAAGCTCGATGAGAGAATGAAAGGCACAGAGGCTGAGGGCGCCTTGACAAAAATGTTTGTTGGCAAGATGAAGACCTACATATCATGTATTAACGTCGACTACGAATCTTCTCGCGTTGAGGAATTCTGGGATATTCAATTGAATGTGAGCGGCAACAAGAACCTCGACGACAGCTTCAGAGACTACGTCCAAGTCGAAACCATGGACGGTGAAAACAAATATTTTGCAGAGGGCTTTGGGCTACAGGACGCCAGAAAGGGTGTTATTTTCGAGAGCTTTCCGCCAGTGCTACATCTCCAACTAAAGCGTTTCGAATACGACTTCCAGCGCGACGCCATGATGAAGGTCAACGACCGTTACGAATTCCCAGAGGTTTGGGATGCCGCGCCGTATCTCTCCGAGGGCGCCGACCGATCAGAGTCGTGGGTATACCACCTTCACGGCGTTTTGGTTCACAGCGGCGATCTTAATGCGGGCCATTACTACGCTTTTCTCAAGCCTACCAAGGACGGACACTACTACAAGTTTGACGACGACCGGGTCACACGTGCCACACTCCGGGAGGCGCTCGAGGAGAACTTTGGTGGCGACTATGTGCAAGCCAACGGAAACACTGGCCAACGGAATCCTTACACGCGAGCCTGGTCTGCAAAGCGCTCCATGAGCGCTTACATGCTGGTCTATATCAGGGAGACAAGACTCGATCAAGTTCTTATGGACAGTAAAGCTGTAGAGCCCCCCAAGCATCTAGCCGAGCGACTTGCTGAGGAACGGGCTGCCTTGGAGCGCAGGAAGAAGGAGCGCGAGGAGGCGCATCTCTACATGGATGTCGCCGTCGCATCCAACGATCAATTCAGCGTCTACCAAGGGTTCGACATAGTGCCGTGGAAGAACGAGGTAGAGATGCCCGCTAGTCCAAAGATTTACCGAGTTCTCCGAGCGACTACAATGGCCGACTTTGCAGCAACCGTTGCTCAGGACTTGGGAACACAGGCTGATATGCTACGTCCGTGGTCCATGGTTAACAGACAAAACGGTACTGTTCGCCCTGATACGGCTCTGGAGTTCCCTGAAATGACGGTCGAAGAGGCGGCTAGTAAGCATGGCACAAAGCAAGCGCAGTTCAGAATGTGGATCGAAAAGGCCGAGGACCGCGATGAGACTGGCGCACCGATATTCGGTGAACGGTTGGTAGATCTCAAGGGCCAGGCTAACAACCGCCCACTGATGATCTTCCTGAAGCACTTTGACGCCAATCAGCAAAGCCTATTCGGCATGGGCACCTTCTATGCCGCATACCAAGACAAAGTGTCCGATCTTACACCTACAATTCTGAAGATGATGGGATGGCCTGCTGGAACGCAGATCAAGCTCTCAGAAGAGATCAAGCAAAACATGATCGAAGCAATGAAGCCCAAGGTGACACTAGCGGCCTCTGAGATTCAAGACGGCGACATCATTACAGTCCAACGCGTACTCAGTGAAAAAGAGGCTGCGCAAATCACCGCGGCAGGAGGCTATACCGAAGCCAAGGAATTCTACGATTATTTACTTAACAAGATTAACATTGAATTCGTGCCAAGGGTACCGGAAGCGGATCTACCGACCTTTTCCTTGACTCTCAGCAAAAAGATGGCGTATGATCAGTTCGCTAGCAAAGTAGCGGAACACCTCAAGACTGACCCCAGCCACCTCCGCTTCACAACCGTCAGCACTGCTGGCAAACCCAAGCAAGCCATCAAATACAGCGCCACTTCAACACTAAACAACATTCTTTTCCCTGGTCCATACAACTACTCGGCGAGTGCTATGCAGCGAAACGATGCGTTGTTTTACGAAGTGCTGGATATGAGCTTGAAAGAGCTGGAGCAGAGGAAACCCGTCAAGGTGACGTGGCTGCCCGACGGACTTAGCAAAGAGGTAAATACCCATGTACATCGTATTTAGTTACGATTTTGATTACTAACAAGAGGCAGGAGGAACACACGTTGATGGTACCGAAGAACGCCCAGGTTTCTGATCTCCTCGAGGCTCTGCAAAAGAAAGCCGGTATCAGCGACGAGATAATGCAAAAGACACGGGCATACGAGGCTCACATGCACAAGTTCCACAAGGTCCTTCCGCCAGATCACTCCATCATGAGCCTCTACGATTACACCCAAATCTTTGTCGCACCCTACTCAGATGACGAGTCATCAAAGAAGATTACAGTCTTTCACTATGACAAGGAACCCTCAAAACCACATGGTGTTCCATTCCAACTCTCGATCAAGGAGGTAGGTTATGCACTAGTATGATGTGACACTGCACGACCGATACTGACATGGTATAGGGCGAGCCGTTTAGCGAGACCAAACAGCGACTTTCAGACTTCACCAAGATCAAGGGCAAGCAACTAGATAAGATCAAGTTTGCTCTTGTAAGCAGGTCGCAATACTCGAAGCCGGAGCCTTTAGACGATGGTGAGGCATTGTCCCATTGTATTCCTTGGTTAGCATGCACTGACAGATTGCAGACGATGTATTATGGGACGTAATAGCAGGGCGCGACGATGTTTCACTAGGACTCGACCATCCAGCCAAGACACGGACGCTCTGGGGCAAGACAGACTCCATCTTCATTCGTTGAAGTCTAGGAATAGCAGTGTAGGATATCACGAGACCGTCAGAACCATTGCACGTTGCGGCGACCTCACATTTTTTAGCAAGAGCAAAAGATACATGTCTGGATTGCTAAGCGGGGTAGGGTGCATTGCGCGCAATCAAGAAGCATTGGCACAGGAAGCTTTGAGGCATTGCATAGGCGGAGTCGCGTGCGTAAACAAGTGAGCGCAGGCGTCGAGATGTTGTAGCGTGTTATTTAGATCACGTATAGCTTGTGCATCGTGCAGACCAGGATAGCAGAAGTAGCATTATGGCTTGATTGTTAGTCTGCCTGCATACTTTACACATGTATGTACTACATACACATGTACAACTACGTACTCGATGATCTGCGGGAAGCCATGTTCCTTTGCTCTCATTCGCCACTCTTGCTAGTATCGCAGTAGTGTAGTCCCCGCGCCCGCGCTTTCCCCTGTCGCATATCCCTGCATCGGCAAAATGTAGTACCGACGTTGTCGACAGCTGGAACTTAGCAACACCAGAACACCCAAGAACCAAAGCAGTCGTCTTACGCCTACACACACGATGCGCGGGTTTCTCACGCTACTCAGCGTTATGCTGACCTACACCACTGCGGTGTATGCTACCGCTCTCACCTACAAAATGGATGCACACGAGGTAGCCTGCTTCTTCGCAACCACTGTGAACAAGGGGACTAAGCTGGCCTTTTACTTCGCTGTACGTCGAGTCCTGAACTTACAATTGCACTTTTTCCATGGACTTCAATGTCCATACTAGGGAATCATACAATACGTAGCATGATCAGCAGTTTACGGAAGCAAAACTGACGAGTATGCGAACAGATACAATCCGGTGGTTCGTTCGATATCGATTACAAAGTCACTGGTCCTGGAGATAAAGTCATTATCGATGGTACAAAGGAGCGTCAGGGTGACTTTGTCTTCACCGCGAATGATGTTGGAGAGTACAAGTTCTGTTTCAGCAACGAGATGAGCACATTTGCGGAGAAGGTGGTGGATTTCGAGATTGCCGTACGTCTTTCCCTGGCTCTCATACCCTCTCGCCTGACCTACTCCTACTGACCGTCTCTGCGCACACAGGTCGAGAACGAAGCCGCCCGCGCCAAGATTCCTTCCAAGCAGGGCTCCTCCCCTGAGCAGACCTCCGTAATCGAAGAGTCCATTCTCAAGCTTTCATCACAACTCTCAACGATTTCGCGCAACCAAAAGTACTTCCGCACGCGCGAGAACCGCAACTTTAGCACTGTCAAGAGCACTGAAAAGAGGATATTCAACTTCAGTCTGATGGAGTCCGGCCTGATTGTGACCATGGCAGCCCTCCAGGTCTTCATTGTCCGATTTTTCTTCCAAGGTGCCAGGAAAGGTATTATATGATATCTGCACAAGTTTGGTTGGAATTCAAGTTGTTGCAGGCTGACGTTTGTTGGTAGGTTACGTCTGAGCGTTCCTGCATTGTTTTGGTCAGAGGTGAAGAAATCTTTTCTTCAAGCATAAAACGCGAGCACTTGGCATTGTTATGTGTTTATGTGTGTGTGGCCGAGTAGGTGAGTGTTTTGTTTTGGATTGTCTCTTTAAGGCGCTATTGGGACTTGAGTCACGTGTACCAACATCCTCGTACTTATAGGGCCTATCGGGCCAACAACTAGGGATGAGAAGAATGCTATTGAGATATGCAAGGGTTCGCTGTCAACTTACAATGTTGTGATATGGCAATGGCACCACTCACAATGTATTCGTTGTTGTTAGTCAGGAGATTTGATAGCGACCGGTAGCGAATCGCACGAACGCACACTCCACTCTGCAATACTGCTGACACGCTACAACAGAGTTATTGCCTTTCAATGACATCAGATAACTGTATCCCTCATACCCACTCCTGGTGCCTTGCATATGTGGAAATGCACTAGATATCTGCCCACGTGGTATAGACCGCCCCGTGCATATTCACCTCACTCACCATATTGATGCCCTAGACAAAAAAACGGGAAGGCCCAACGATATGTCCATCTGTTATTACCTTCGTTTAGTACAAAACCTGCTTCCACATCACTATGGGTAGCTTTTAGCAGATTCTCAGTCATTGTCAACTTGCGCTATTTCCAAATTGTCGGCTTGGTCCTGCAGTCCTGTTAGCTGGTTGGTGCGACCTTCTAAGTCACCTTCACCTCAACTTCACCTCGTCTTGTTATCCACTTAAACCCTTCCAAATTCCTCTTATCTCCACTCCACTCTCACCTTCTCTCCGTACCACCTCTTCTCACCGCCCATCTTTATTTCAGTATCCCACGCGGCGATCGGTACTTCTTCTACATTCCAATTGACGTACTTGACAGTCACACGGGTATTGATACAGAAGACTTCTGCTTTTAGCGCTTTGGCTCCGCGGTAGGCTTTGGATACCTTCACCTTCAGCAGCGCAACACCGCATTCCCTGCACCCATCTTCAGATCTGGTATCATATCACAACATCATCATGGATAACCCCTACACCTTCCAGGCGAGTCGAGTGTCCAACAACAGTCACATGAACCGCAGTAGTAGCTACCGAGTTCCGCCAGCAACTGCTCACCCCATACAACCAGTTCAGTGGCCTATAGTGTCAACGTTTCCGACTAACATCCCTCCACAGCAGGCAGCGTTCAGGGACAACCACACTGCGCTGACCTACACCAAGGACCAAATGATCCAAAGAATATGGTCGCGGGATCCACACACTGGAAATCCTGTGGTACGACAGACTAAGGGACTGTTCAATTCCGGCAGTTACACGGATCTCACCACTCGTCAGAAATATACACACCCACAAATGGTCCATCTAACGGGCAAGATGATACAGGAGCATATTGAAAGGTTGAGGCGTCAAGTCAATCACGTCCAGCCATTTCAGGCTGCGCAAGAACAACAGCAGTTCCGCCAATCGATGCAGTCGCAGATGCAGCCCTCGACACAACCAAGCTCTGTTGGATACCCTCCACGTGGGTACACAGATGAACAAGCAATTCAGTTGCAACAAAGACAAGAGGTACGGGACCAACACTTCGTAGAGCAACACGCGCGGACGGTACAGCAAAGTCAAACGCAGCAATCGCTACCACAGCAACAGGCGTATCCACCTATACAGCCATCATCGCACGTGGCGGAGGCAGGACAGCCCGCTTTTATCGACAAGTTTGGTCGCCAGTGGACTAGACAACAATATGAAGAACTTATTCGGCGCCAGCAAGCACAGAAGGCACAAGCATCGGCAGCAATGAGTTCTGGACTGGGGCCACAGTTCCAGCAAGACCCACAGACATCGTCGCCCATGATGATGAACTCACAGAATTGTGAATATACGCATAATGTGCACAATGAAGCGGCGTCCCAAAACCACTTGGACTTGCTTCGGCGCCAGAAAGGCAACATGGGGCCATCTCCAGTACCTGCGAACCCAGGAACTCACCAGCAGCGCCAATGCATGCCATCGCCGGGGACTAAGAGTTCACAACAGTCTTCGATCACGGATCAGTCTGGACGACAATGGACACGAGAGCAGTGGGAGAAGGTTGAGAAGAGTCGAGAGTTGAAGAAGAACCTCGTTCTACCAAGTCAGGCAACAAAAGCTTGTGTACCAGGAACTCCTACCACGAAGCCAGCAGTACACAAGCAGAGCGTGAGCAAGATCCAAAAGCAGCCTTCCCGCCAGCCAGCCGCCAGCGCCGCGCATTTTAAGAAGCCGTCAGTCACGCAGCCTGCCAAGCAAGCAGCGCCTCGCGAAGTGAAAGTGATTGGCAAAGACGTAACAAACAAGTCCCTCAACCCAACCGCAGACCCAACAAGTCTTCTTCCCGTTCCTGAGATCAATCAACCAAACCAAGTCTCAATGTCCAAACAACCCAATGTTGCTCCCAACACCGCACCCGCACCAAACCCACCCCGCATCTCCACCCAACCCACCACCGTCAGCCAATGGGACGTAGAAAATGGGCGCCACATCTACGACTCGATGACCTCGTTCATCTTCTCTCACCAGGAGGCTTACCACGAAGGCTTATCGAAACTTGAGGCTGCCGCCATCAACCCCGCCGTCAACCCTCCCCCCACCGTATCCCCCCTCGCACACTTCGACCCCACAATCTTCAAAAAAGTCAAACACCCCCAATACACCGGCTTCTCCGTCTTCTCAGATCTCAACGGCGGTGTACTTGCCGAAATCGATAATCAAGCACTGCTCAAGCGGATTTGTACGGTTGATCCCGATGGTGTGCTTCGCGCGCCGGAACCAAGGTGGGTGAGTGAGGAGAGGGCGAAGTTGGAGTGGGAAATCAGGATGGTAGGGGGGAAGTATGGGCGGGGGATGTAAGATTGGGATAGATGACTGGGCTTTTTTTCTTCTTTCTCTCTCTTTTCTTTGATTTCCTTCACACCTTTCTTGTATTTTTCCTATCGGGAGCATGGTTATCATTTTCAACGGGCCATGGCGCTTTGGAATTTCTAGAGGCTAGAATCGCCCTCCTGGTCTTATCTTTTTTTCTTTTATTTCTTTTTGTCTTATCATCGGAGACTTCAAGGTGCATCTAAGCAATGGTCTTGGGGTTTCGAATAGGTGTTTGGGTATTTCCATCTTCCTCATCTTTTCCCTTACGGGTATTACTCGTCGGGTCGGCTTCGGATTTGCGTCCAACGAGACGGAACTACATGTGGTAGACATCTTCGTGAATGGGGTCTGAGAGGTAGATCAGGCAGTAACTAGATTCTTACTATATCACGAAGAAATCGGAAAACAGTGTTCGTGTACAAAAGGGTTTTGGCGATGAAAATCTGAGGGGGTAAGTGAACAAAGGAATCAAGCTTTGTGCGACACTGACATAGTCACGAATCACAAACGAAGAAGAAAACAACCATAGATGCAGTAGACATATCAAGATGGATGAAACAAGAAAAGAAGCGTTCAAACGCCCATGATTTTGGTATCTCGTGTTGGCCAAAGAAAAAAAAATTCAAGACAATAATTCCCAAACTCACTCCATACGCTATGCCCAAGTCACGAAATGCACACCCAGCCTCATTTGTTTTGACGCCCACTATGCAAATGAGAAAACCGTATCCAAATTCCAAAGGGTTTTTTAATCCATCCACAACACACACATGCAAACGATGAGCGGCTTATCCTTCATCTGAGTCAACCACCATACTTTCGCCAAAAGCGCTAACATCCTCAACTGATCCACCCTGTGCATGGCGTCTCCTGCGGCTCCGTCTGCCCGCGACGCGATTTTGTTCGATTTCCCGTAGCTTGCCACTCATGCGGCGTTCCAGCTCTTCAATCTCTTCGTTTTCTTCTGGTTCGCCTGGAAAGGTTGATGCACCAGCTGGGTCGGACTGCGCGTGCCCGCTGTCAGATTCGTTGACTTCCAAAGCGCGGTTGAGGAGATCAGTGGCCATGGGGTCTTGGGGCGCGACGGCTAGGGCTTCGTGAAGGGTCACAATGGCGTCCCAGCTACGGTCCATGTTAAGGAGTACTAGTGCTTTTGCTGCAAATACGCTGGGATCCTTTGTGCCATGGCGAAGGACGTCGTCGAAAGTGGCGAGTGATTCGCTGTATTTCTCGTGCTTGCGAAGGGCATGGGCAAGGTTTATCCGCGTGGGTATCCAAGTATCAGGATCTGCTTCGTTTTGCTCTGAGAAGGCGAGTGCTCGGCGGAAGAAGTGTATGGCGTCGACAAGTTGCCCCTCATGGAAATAGACAACGCCCATTTCATTAAGTAGACATGGATCATTTTCACACAAGTCATATGATGTCTTGAGATACTCTTTTGCCAAGGTCAGGTTGTTCAGTTGGAGGTTCTGCATGCCGAGGAACATCTGGGGCAGGTGGGAGCCTTGAAACAATCGTGCAGCGGTCGAGTAGGCAGAAATGGCCTGGTCGTGCTCGCCTTCAGCGGCAAATGTATGTGCGAAGCCAATCCATGCGGGCCCAAAATGCGGATCCATCATGGACGACTTTGAAAAGTATCGGCGCGCTTCGGCTATACGTCCGATTGCGAGATAGTATGTGCCGACAGCAAACCACACGCACGGTTCAGAGGGATGTGTGTCCGCGAGCTCATGGGCGAGGAGGAAGAGTGTGTTTTTCTCGCCCAGTTCGTGCAGAGATGCTATGTGTATGGGCATGATATTGAAGTTATATTTGTCATTGGAAAGAACGGACGAGGTAAGAGCAAGGGTATCGCGGAATCTACACAGGGTGAACATGAGGTCGGCCTTGGAGAGAACAATGTCTGGGTTCTCGCCAAGGTTGTAATGAGTGGTAAGGGTCTCGGTAGCATTCGCAAACTCCTCGGGTCTGGTGTACTTGGATAGACGGGTGGTATAGAGTGTCTTTGTGAAAGAGGCGGCTTCTTGCGACAGCGAGGGATTGCTGGAGACATTGATGGTGTCGAAATTCAGCGACTCGAGAAACTTCCACTCCTCGTCCGGAGCCATGAGCGAATTGGACATGAGAGCGTCGAAGGCCTCGAAACACTGGACGTCAATCTGGACAGCCGTCTTGTAGCACTCCTTTGCGCGATCGAACGAGTTCAGCTTGGCGTAGCAAACGCCGCGCAGGTAGCACATGGCGGCTTCGGACTTGATGTTGTCGGCATTCTCGCGGTCGCGTTCCTCACTTGTGGGCAGGCGCTCGTTGCGCGAACCGGAGCGGTGATGGCGGGGGCCGTGGCGTGTATTTACATGGACATGGCGCAGCTTAGTACGGGCACTGTCTGGGGCGGCAATGAGATGTGTGGGGTTCTTATCGCCGAGAATGTGTAGAGCGTCATCCGTCTTGCCCAGCTTGATGGCGCAGTGGGCAGCGAGATAGCGGCATTGGGGAGTGCGGTCAATCAGATTGCCGCGCGCAAGCAGGGCCTGGGTGCGGTTGTAATTGCCCGTGGTGAAGTGGACCTGGGCCAGCCAAAAGGCGTCTTGGTCATCGTCTGTGGGGTGTCGTGAGCGGCCAGGGTAGTAGTGGTGGGCGAGGGTAGGGCAGCATACCAGTGAGGGCCAGCAGCTTGTCGGCAACAAAGATGGCCGTGTCGTACTGGCAGCGGTTGAGGGCCTCCTGGCGCCATTCGCGAAGATAATTTTCCATGGTGCCGAGCTGCTGTGGCCATGTGCTGGGGAAACAATCGACGCGTGGAAGGGTGGGTCTTTTGGTGGGTTAAGACGAATGGGTGGTTGTGTATATCACATGTGTATGTCCATGCACACAAAGGCGACGCGCGGGCGCCAGCATGACACGAAAGCACATGTTTGCGGGGTTGCCGCGAACTCGCTGATTAGTCAGTTGCGTTAGTCAGCAAAATTGGCTTCCATGAGAATAATAGGTTGCCGCTCCCTCTCGACCTCGTACAACACCACCCAACACTCCGACAGAGAACTCGCCCAAGGCACCTACCACCCACCATGTCTGAACGAAAAGTCCTCACCAAATACTACCCCCCCGACTTCGACCCTTCCAAAATCACCCGCCAGCGCGGCCCTAAGAATGCGGGACCCAAGCTCATGACCGTCCGCCTTATGGCGCCCTTTTCCATGAAATGCACGCACTGTGGCGAGTTCATCTACAAGGGGCGCAAATTCAACGCTCGCAAAGAAACTACCGATCAAAAGTACTACAACATCGCCATCTTCCGCTTCTATATCCGCTGCACCCGTTGCTCTGGCGAAATCACCTTCAAAACCGACCCCAAGAACATGGACTACGAATGCGAGCGCGGCGCAAAGCGCAACTTTGAGCCTTGGAGAGAAGCCAAGCTCAGTGAGGAAACTGAGGAGGAGCGCTTAGATCGCCTTGAGAAAGAAGAGGCAGAGCGCGACGCCATGAAGGAGCTCGAGACCAAAGTAGTTGACGCCAAGACCGAAATGGCCATTGCCGATGCTCTTGATGAGATCCGCTCAAGGAACGCGCGCCTCGAGAAAGCAGAGAGCCTGGGTACTCGACCCGATGTCCAGCCTGATGCTGCCGATGAGCGCAGGAAGAAACAAGACGAAGAGGACGCGGAAGCAGCACGGCAGGCTTTTGCTAGTCGGAGCATGCCAGATATTGGTGAGGAAGCTATCGACGAGGATATGATGGATGTCCCAATAGATGTGCCTGTTGTCGCATCCTTCAGCAAGAAGCCAAAAGAAAAGAAGGATTTCAGCGCCGCGCTCGGCATCAAGAAGAAGACTCAGGCACCAGCTCCTACCCCGGCCCCTCAACCTCAAGTTAAATCAGTCCTGCCACCATCGAAGCTGTCTACCATGCTTGTCCCCGGCTATGACAGCGATAGTGACTGAAATGAATCTAGCGCCACGATGATGCCAATACAGTTTTGCATCCCTACCAACCCTGTTTCGAGCCTCAGACATGCATAAGAATTGCTATGAATCCGAGCAGGTATAGAATAGCTGAAACGCCGTCAGGATGAAGGATACTCATCACTGCCAGACCCGTACTCCAACATGACAGCGAAAGAAACCATATCCTGACCAACCCGGAATGCAGGATTATCTTTGTAGCTCCTGACCTCAGTGCCATCGCAGAAATGCAATTGGCTTTCCATAGAGGGCATTCACATACCTTCACTGACTCGATCAGGGTAGCTAGTAGCTCTAGTGATTGGCTGACGGGCCATGCCGTGTGCCCAATGGTCCAGTTCACTTTCTCCTCGACTCAGTACACAGGTGGGTGAACCTAGGTATTTGTGCACTATCTTTGCTCCGTGAATCTCATCACGTCCGCTTCTTACTCAATAATGTCTTTATGTAATCAATACAAGTTACTCAAACAAAATGAATACATTCACTTGAACATATACGAATAGCCACATATATTTTTGATGTTCTGAACTATGTTGAGCGATATCTCTTAAGATGCTTTGCGAGCAATAAGACCTTTATTCCCTTTTGCACCTACCGTGTAGTTCAAACCTTCTTTTCGCAAGCTCTTAGTCTAATACTATCCTCATTCAGCCATCCAGTACTCTCGAGACTACATCGTCTTGAGAAATTTGTATCAATACGATCTCATTTTGTTATCAACATGCTTGTCCAAGAAGAGCAACATCGCAAAGATTCACTGGCCATTCAGGACTTGCCGCATATGCACAATGTGCATTATTCACCCCTAAGAGAGTTATCGTTCGTATCCCGATGCGACGCGATCTTGATAATATGCCAATATTCTTTCTGCTTACGAAATAATGGGAGATTTGCACGTACTTGTCACTGCGGCAGAAAGGTGGTTATACTATCTCACCATTTTTTTCTCCCATATATATACCAAGATCCCTCTTACTAAACCACGATGAATCATACACGTTTAAACATCATGTGTGCAAAATAGATATAAGACTTTCTTTTCTTCTCTTGCGAGATTGCACCACTTATGATGAACTCTCTTACAAAGGCCCGTTTCCGCTCTTATTCACGAATGCTTACCGCTCATGCACACTCACTCGCTCACTCACTCACATAACGACAGCTACGCTAAATTTAGAAAATTCAATTCACCTCGCTTTCACGCCTTGTTTTGGTACACTCCCCCTCACCCTCTAGGTAAAATATAGTTCCAACTTCATTTCGCTCCTAAGCTTCTACTTCAACCACACACACTCTCATACATCACATGTCAGCTTTCGAGATGGAGCTCATATCCCTAACCTTTCTCGTCTTCGTACACTTAGTTTTTCTGACTGCAGGCGAGATCACTCAGTCAGGGCTCACTGATAAATCTCTCACAAAACACTCCAACCCAGCAATCGGCTCCGATACGGAAACCGTCAATGTCGCGACTACAGATGACGAATGGGACCGGGCAGTTTGCAAAGGAACTAAATTACTCTTTGGAACCACACTCAACCCTAATCAAGCCATCCTACACTGTAGACCACTCACCACCCCGTGGCACGGTACTCTGGTAAACGAACTGACTACATGGGGTTATTACGACGCTAGTGATGACGAGGATAGGAAGGGAGCTTGCAACTTCGAAACAAAATTTAGCGGCTTAACACGAGCTTTCCGTGAGCTGGGTGTTGGTATGCACGACTATACAGATGGTGGACCGAACCGCTGTTTCACCGTCGTTCATTACGACGGCCCTGCTGTTGAGAAAAATCCTGATGGATCCATGCCGCGAAGGTCGACACAACATTACACTGTCAACGGGCGGAGATACAAGGTAAGCTAACCAATCATTCCCGTAATTCGACCACTTGATTTCTTAACACATCTCATCCTCTACAGATAACGGGTGCCCACTTCATCATCGGCGTGAATAGCAAAGACGGGTACATGTTCTTTATCGATCGATCGTCTCCCGAGACCCAAGCTCGCCTTATTTGGAATGTCCCCACGCACATTCCAATCCCGCGCGACGAGATGCCTGCCTTGAGATCCAGCTCCGACATTGCGTGGGGTTTCTGGAATAGGGTGAGCGGCTATAATCTAGGGGGAATTAACGCCTTTATTTCTTTCGAAGTCGTCAATGAAGAGACTGGGCGGATTATTGACAGGGCGATGAAGAAAAATGGTCATGATGAAGTGCCGCCCTGGCCAGGAGTTCGGTTCAATTCGGGAACTGAAGAGTATAGGGCGCTTCTAGGTAGGCCGGTTTCTTCTCTCATTACCTTCCTGCATTCTACTTCCCAAGACGACATAGTACAACATTGTCATCTTGACTGACATGTGTCTCAGGATCCCCAAACGGTTTAGCTGCAGGCTACTTGCTCACCCAGCACAAGAGGGAGATGGGAGGCAACAAGTACGTTAGTCACATCATTGTCTTCATGGAAGATGATCCCACAGGGTGGCCCAACTTGCTTTTCAAGGTTGATTGGGCGCCACCTCCACCGCCGCCACCGCCGCCGCCGCAGCCATCCGCAACACAGCCTTTGCAAGCGAAGAGCATTGGTGAGCACGCTCAAGAGTTACAGAATGAGGAACAAACTCATGTGGAAGGGGCAAAGATTCTGGGTAGTAGCAGGGATGGTAAACACATTGTCAGGGAGCATGTGATCCGGGCAACGTAGTTGTCGCACAACAGGTTATAAACCTGAGATATAGATACCAGGAAGAGCTGGATCAGACTGACCGATACCAGTTCTTAGATGTCAGGCAGTAACTAACAGATCCCCACACTAGTTCACTGTCAATGCAACTCTAATTCCAACCACATCTTTTTCTTCGTTTGCCTAGGCCTACAAGTATTCCCTCCACCCTTTCTCGACCTCCTTCCAAATCTTCACCCTCGCAATAGTAAACCACACACCAAATTTATCCTCCTTCATGTCTCAAACACCCACACGCCGCTCGCTTGGACCTCGCCAAACGCTATACATGTAGCATTGCGATCACCACTCAGGAACACGGTTGCAGTGAGGGGTAGGAGAAGGGAGGTAAGATAAGGTCGATATGATTGCTCTTCGTTGTAATCAACACATCACGCATTCATGTCACTGCAGTCATTTACCAAGAAGAAGGTATCAGGCTCGCGACTCTGAGTGATTGCTTATGCGAATTAATCCCTAAGCTCATATGCATCTTTGAACAACCTTACAAGTACTGTTGGTGTGTAATTAAGCTTGGTATATTAACTATAATATAGCGATCAATTGTAGGACTTTTCAAGTTCTTTATTAAAAGATGCAGACCTTCAAATCGACCGCGTTGAGTGCTTTGCCCAAAGTACGACAAAGGGGTAGCTCAAAACAGTATTGCCATTCATTCAGTCAGTCAATATCTACACAAATCAAGCCATTCGCACTAGGCCTGTTGTGTATGTAGGTCGAGATTGCAACTGTTATTACACCGGCTGCACAAAGCAACTTGGCAGTCAGCTTTCTTCCAATCTGACACCTTAGCGCTGATACACAATGAACTGTACCTACATACCACGGGAACACAGCGGCAAGGTAATTTCAGACCGGAACAACCACGCCACCAATTACGGCATCAGCCTTGTCGACCCTTTGAGGAAAGTAGGCCGAAGCCAGACACACGGGTACGATAACTAGACGCATCGACGAATCCGACATCTTGTCGCCCTAAATCGCGGGCCGCCAAGTTTCATCTTGGAAACGTGGTCTAGATGTTTCGTTTCGCTTACTTACTTACTCGTAATGCAGGGCAAAAATAGCATCACGTGATGGGTGCCTGGACGGGAACGAGGCTTGGCCGCGATATGCTAGGGTTTCACATGTCAGCCTTGAGGTTAACTTCCGAAAAAAAAGTGTCAAGGTAGACACGGGTGAGTTGGAAGAATGGATGTCAGCGAGCCAAGCCATCTATATATGAATGTGAGAATGCACGATTGTTTCGCATCGTTGTGGCGCCTGATAGGCTGGGTTACCCCTGATTGCTCTCACGGCAGATATTTTGCTCAAAACCCGTCAGGGAACGCGGGCTTGAATATCAAAGCCTTACTGCAATCGATCGGCCAATGAATTTAGTGCAATAGTGAAGTGTGTTGTGGTTACATTGAAGCTTTGGATGCGCAGTATTGGGAAACACTGTCCAAGGCTATTTTCGGTCCCTCTTATGCGAAATTCACTGTTGACTCGTAATGTGTGTATCTGCTCAAGAACGGAACCTGATTGATGACTGGTTGACTTCTTACTCATTGTGATATCATAGTGTTCAACACCTGCACATGTAGATCATGCTAATTTGCCCTTAGCATGTTTACGTCGTTTTATGTCTTTTGTAAAGCTATATCAAGATAGGTATTTTCTGCTTTGAGCGCAAAATCAAGTCAATTCAGATATAGAGGACTGCATAGTGGCGCCACTTGACTGCTATTTGACAGGCATCCACGAGCGCTTATTGAATTGGTTATCTAAAAATCTCACTTGTATTGATATTTTGAGTTCCCGGTCAATTCCGACGTAGGGATTAACTACTCAGACAAAATTTACTGATCTTGATTACTGGAAATACTGATCAAGTGCACTGCACACAAGATGTTGGATCTCAACGCAGATAGGGTGCAGGAAAAACCAAGTTGTTAAAAAGAGTAGCGTTATCCTCCCAAATGCCTATACACTAGACTAAAGCAGAAAATTGGCCATGGTAGCGTGGTTGTGGTTGGTAGAATATACACGCTTTCCCAAAGAAGAAATGCCGGGAGTGCTGGAACAGGCGCGACGAGGAAGGTAAACCGAACCCCGCACCCCAGATATTGACGCGTCTAAGATAACCTTCGTGGCGGAATACATCAAAACTTTGGGTATAAAATACTGCGGTTCACAATGTATTGTTCCCGTAGATATTCAAAGCTTTCAATTGCTCCAATATTA